TGAGAACGGGAGAAAGCGTGATTTCCGTACATAAAAAAGGTGAAAAATATGGAAATAGTTTGGCCCTATTGTTTGTTATATTTATTTGCTCAAAGTCTTCTTGTGTTTTGGTTCTTTTACTCTTGTATTTACTCTTGATTTTGGCTCACATTTAACAAAAACCCACCAATTCACTATCTCAACAAATTAGAATTATGGTGACATGCCAATCAGCTAATCAACTCAAAACACCTGCAAAGGTTTCCTGAGCCTTCAAAATGGTCTCTCAGTTTGGTTCACTAGGCTACACAATCATGGGGAAGACTGCTGATCTGACAGTTGTCCAGAAGACAATCATTGACACCCTTCACAAGGAGGGTAAGCCACAAACATTCATTGACAAAGAAGCTGGCTGTTCACAGAGTGCTATATCCAAGCATGTTAACAGAAAGTTGAGTGGAAGGAAAAAGTGTGAAAGAAAAAGATGCACAACCAACCGAGAGAACCACAGCCTTATGAGGATTGTCAAGCAAAATCGATTCAAGAATTTGAATGAACTTCACAAGGAATGGACTGAGGCTGGGGTCAAGGCATCAAGAGCCACCACACACAGACATGTCAAGGAATTTGGCTACAGTTGTCGTATTCCTCTTGTTAAGCCACTCCTGAACCACAGACAACGTCAGAGGCGTCTTACCTGGGCTAAGGAGAAGAAGAACTGGACTGTTGCCCAGTGGTCCAAAGTCCTCTTTTCAGATGAGAGCAAGTTTTGTATTTCATTTGGAAACCAAGGTCCTAGAGTCTGGAGGAAGGGTGGAGAAGCTCATAGCCCAAGTTGCTTGAAGTCCAGTGTTAAGTTTCCACAGTCTGTGATGATTTGGGGTGCAATGTCATCTGCTGGTGTTGGTCCATTGTGTTTTTTGAAAACCAACGTCACTGCACCCGTTTACCAAGAAATTTTGGAGCACTTCATGCTTCCTTCTGCTGACCAGCTTTTTGAAGATGCTGATTTCATTTTCCAGCAGGATTTGGCACCTGCCCACACTGCCAAAAGCACCAAAAGTTGGTTAAATGACCATGGTGTTGGTGTGCTTGACTGGCCAGCAAACTCACCAGACCTGAACCCCATAGAGAATCTATGGGGTATTGTCAAGAGGAAAATGAGAAACAAGAGACCAAAAAATGCAGATGAGCTGAAGGCCACTGTCAAAGAAACCTGGGCTTCCATACCACCTCAGCAGTGCCACAAACTGATCACCTCCATGCCACGCCGAATTGAGGCAGTAATTAAAGCAAAAGGAGCCCCTACCAAGTATTGAGTACATGTACAGTAAATGAACATACTTTCCAGAAGGCCAACAATTCACTAAAAATGTTTTTTTATTGGTCTTATGAAGTATTCTAATTTGTTGAGATAGTGAATTGGTGGGTTTTTGTTAAATGTGAGCCAAAATCATCACAATTAAAAGAACCAAAGACTTAAACTACTTCAGTCTGTGTGCACTGAATTGATTTAATACACGAGTTTCACAATTTGAGTTGAATTACTGAAATAAATGAAATAAAACTTTTCCACGACATTCTAATTTATTAAGATGCACCTGTATATGGGCGCTGGGTGCAGCTTTCCTCCTCCGAGAGTCAGCGTCATGAACGCGGCTTTGATTCCGGAGCTGGTGGCCTACTGCCTCTGTCAGGGTGGGGCCTCTCGTTCTTGGAGCCCCGACGGCGCTTCGGCCATGGCTGTCTTGGCCTCACTGCCGGCTCATGTTCACGCCGAACAGCAGCAGAAGAGGCGTACGGTCTTCCCGCGCGCTGTGCTGATGAGGAGCAGAAACGCACAGGAGTGTTCGCGCCGGCGCGTTTTGGCAGGAAGTGGCTAATGGACTTAGACTGTTTCTGCAGTCTAAGTGCAGTTTCTGCAGTTGATGTGTTCGGTTTGGAGTGAACGCCTCCTGCCGAGCCAGCCAGAAGCCGTCTGGACGAGTGGTAGTCTGGACAGACTGCTCCGTGAACGTCTCCACCGCCGCTCCAAAGAGACCCGATGGATTCATGGGTGCGTCCAGAAGGGCCGTCTTCTTTTGAGTCTTTCAACTCAGTCAGGGTATTATGGAGTTGCTTCAATTACGCATCCACACGTTATATCGTCTGTACATGTAACGTCTTAAGAAATATCTGTCTTTACAGCCTTCCATACAACTGTCCGGTGTAGACACGGTGTGAGCGCGTGTGAATACGTGCATCTGTGCGTCTCTTAGCAGTGTTCAACAGCAGTGTCTCTATTAATAGCAAATCTTTAAGTTGAACTGCTTCAAGAACCTTGCTACTGAGAAATGTTATGTAGCTTTTCAACTGTAAAACTATTTTATTGATAAATTCGCGGGGCAGCGCTGACAACAAGTTTTTGTCCATGTCTCCGCGTGTGCGCGAGTGTCTGTACTGTGTGCGTCTGTGAGAACGGGAGAAAGCGTGATTTCCGTACATAAAAAAGGTGAAAAATATGGAAATAGTTTGGCCCTATTGTTTGTTATATTTATTTGCTCAAAGTCTTCTTGTGTTTTGGTTCTTTTACTCTTGTATTTACTCTTGATTTTGGCTCACATTTAACAAAAACCCACCAATTCACTATCTCAACAAATTAGAATTATGGTGACATGCCAATCAGCTAATCAACTCAAAACACCTGCAAAGGTTTCCTGAGCCTTCAAAATGGTCTCTCAGTTTGGTTCACTAGGCTACACAATCATGGGGAAGACTGCTGATCTGACAGTTGTCCAGAAGACAATTATTGACATCCTTCACAAGGAGGGTAAGCCACAAACATTCATTGCCAAAGAAGCTGGCTGTTCACAGAGTGCTGTATCCAAGCATGTTAACAGAAAGTTGAGTGGAAGGAAAAAGTGTGGAAGAAAAAGATGCACAACCAACCGAGAGAACCGCAGCCTTATGAGGATTGTCAAGCAAAATCGATTAAAGAATTTGAGTGAACTTCACAAGGAATGGACTGAGGCTGGGGTCAAGGTATCAAGAGCCACCACACACAGACGTGTCAAGGAATTTGGCTACAGTTGTCGTATTCTTCTTGTTAAGCCACTCCTGAACCACAGACATCATCAGAGGCATCTTACCTGGGCTAAGGAAAAGAAGAACTGGACTGTTGCCCAGTAGTCCAAAGTCCTCTTTTCAGATGAGAGCAAATTTTGTATTTCATTTGGAAACCAAGGTCCCTAGAGTCTGGAGGAAGGGTGGAGAAGCTCATAGCACAAGTTGCTTGAAGTCCAGTGTTAAGTTTCAACAGTCTGTGATGATTTGGGGTGCAATGTCAGCTGCTGGTGTTGGTCCATTGTGTTTTTTGAAAACCAACGACACTGCACCCGTTTACCAAGA